CAGATGCTGTAACACTCCATGATGAATTAAGCATAGGGACAATCATACACACTTCAAGAGTCAACTGTTTAAAGCATGAGATTTGTGAACTAAGCAAGCGTATAAGAAAAAAGAGAAAGGACCAAGGAAGTGTTAGCCACACATCTCAAATCACCAGACCAGAACTGATATAATTCTTCTTCTTCTTCGCGTTCACCAGCTGTACACTCTGGCGGAAAGTGATAATTAATATCTTATTCCCCATATTGATTCTCCCCCATAAATCTCTCATACACATCTCAAATCACCAGACCAGAACTGATATAATTAATTTCTTGTTCCCCATATTGATTCTTCCCCCAGAAATCTTTCATACACATCTCAATAACCAGGTTCAACCCGGAGTTAGGGACACAATGTAACCCTTGCTGGGAGTAGAAACTGATTCTGCTTTGACTGGTGTGCCTCGTGGGCGAGCTCCATCCCCTATGTCCAGTACTGTATCCAAAATATGACTGTCTTCACTTTATGACAGTACTTGTAACCATATTCCGCAGGTGCTTTCCGAGCCCCCCCCCCCCCCCCCCCCAGGAAGGGGGGTAAAAGAGCCAGTGACCATAACCACCACTCCTCCCCCTGTAATCTTTGGTACAATGCCTCATTTCTCAGCCAGTGGTGCATTACCAGCATTAGGTGTTTACTGAGATCAGGTGTTGGGCCAAAAGGCGTAGATATTGCAGCCTAGCCGCAAACCACAGCATAATGCAACCAACCACAGGGACAGAAGACTTAGGCTTGAGTTTCAGGTCCATTGCATTGACGTTTAGGTTATCTGAGCTCCGAAAATGGTTTGGTTTTGTCACAGCAAGTTTGTGTGGACTTATCTCCCCAACAGCTCCATACCATGTCAGTGGGCACAGTGCTGCAGAGTTTTTGCCAGCTCAGAAACCAGCCAGGTATGCAAGAGCACTACTGAAACTTCACATCTGCTGGAGTGGCATATTAAAATGTAATGAGGGCATGATCCAGCACAGAACATGATAACTGACTGGGTTTTGTCCTTAGTTGGAATGCTTCCTTCATAGATTTTAGCTGTTCCATCGCCAACAGACCGGAACCATGTCCCGCATGATACTGACACCATCACCAGTTTTAATGCTGATTTGTTTAGAAAAAAGGAGCTGGCACTATTCATCCAATACACCTGATGGCATGAACAAACAAACAAAAAAACTCTACTTAATGAGCCAGTTTTGGAGGGAAACTGTCTAGAAAAGAAAACTTTAAACAAATGCATTCTGAACTTCGCCACACTGACATCCGAACTGCACAATTAATGTGACGCACTCTCAAAAGAGAAACGAGGAATAGCAGAACCCAGGCAGCCTAGGAAATTATTTTACTCTTACAATCAACGTGCATAGTTGAAAACTACCTTTGCAGCACTGCTTCGACACAGAAGACACGGACACTGAATTGAAATCCCCTCTCACTGCAAGTAATTGCTGGCAAATACAGTGAGACTGGATAGAAACCCTATCCCATCTCACTCCAAATACTTACTGGCAAATACAGCGAGACTGGATGGGAACCCAATCCCCTCTTACTAAAAGCTTTTAGCCTATTATATTCATATTTGATTATCTCAATCAGCTCCTCCATTTTTATCTCACATTACTTCCTATTTACATGTACGTGGCTTAGGCGTTGCGAGTCTGACTGGTAATACCCACGTACTGCGATCAAATACCACTGCTGGCTGTGTGGATTTTTATCATGGTATGGGCATCGCAGGTCGACCCAGCCCAAATGGCAGTCCTGGGGAAGTAAAGATGGCTGGCATAATGCTGACCACATTACCCACCTAATGCTGATTGGTCTGTAGCAATATGGGATGCTCTTCCCATATGCCCGATGCGCCTAAGGCGTGAAAAGGGATCTTCACTTTTTACTTTCTTTCATGTATGACAACATCTTGGAGTGGGATTGTATCAACAAAGACTGGGTTTTTGTGTGCCTTGTCATATTTACCTTTCTCTATGGATGTTTAGACCTAATTGTTGTGATTTTTTTCAGAGAGAACAAAAGCATTTTATTCCAGCACTCGTAACAATTTCACGAACCTGAACGTATCAGATAACTGGAAGAAAAGTGGCTAGCATAAAAAGCAAAGGAAATTGATTAAATCAGATGCAAAGTCAAGCTCTGACCATGGGAAAAATAAAACAAACAGAGGATACTACATACCCAAACCAACAACAATATTTGTAGTGTGCAGCTACTCAACTTCCTCAGACTGGTCCCAATGAGCAGCCAGATCCCAGGTTCATTACGCGATAAACATTCAATAAAATGACTTTTATAACCACACAGGATCTGAGGAAAGGGACTGACACAAATTGGGGCACCATAATTACCGTGGCCCTCAACTCTTTTAGTTGCAGCAGGTGTTGGCCGATGGACCAGCGAAGAAATAAGAAATGTCAGCTCATTCACCGGTGTTCAACGTCTATAGGGTCCAAACACACATGCCTTGCTAGAAAAGAGTGAATTCAAGCATACATGGTGCGCTTCTTGGGATACAGAGTTAAAAGAAGCAAAGAAAAGTAACAATCTCCCCAAGAGTCACCAAAAAGTGACTTCCAGTTTACAAAGAGGTAAACAGCATGATTACAAGAGGTATTTTATCAGAGAGATATGAACTGTAAATGATGATGATGATGATGGAGTAATTAACCCAGTAAACAAAACAGCAACCACATATCACTGTCATTTTATTAAGTTTTCACATGTCCGTAGACAGTTTTCACATGTCCATAAACATTATTGAGACAACAGCTGATACTGGGCATTATGTTACATAATGAATTATAACAGTTATTAATAACAAAGAAATAAAAGCTAGACCACAACAAAATATCGGATATTGAAACAAGCTATATATAAATGATGAAATAAGTTAAATATTTGATAAAGTGAATACAGATAAGCAAACCAGATAGGAATGCGGACACGACAACGGATAACTGATAATTTGAAAAATTAGTGTACAATTCTGAAACAATATAAACAAAAGAGAAAATACACATGAAAAGATATCCACATTTAATGATGAAAGAAAGGACAAAAAAAAATATACCAAAGACACCAGGACAGGGGCTACAAAAAAAAAAAAAAAAGACATAATGACAACTAAAAGGAAACTTTGCTGACAGCAGAATCTGAAAGATGGGTGGAAAGTTAAAACAAACAATAACCCAAAAAAAAAAAAAATTAAGGTGGACAGACATGACAACAAAGCAATAAACTAAAAGAAAATACAGATTAAATTGCAGTCTAGAGAAACATACGAAGACAAGACAGACATGAACCACACAGGAAACCAGACAGTAAGACAGACATAAACCACACAGCAAACCAGATAGTAAGACAGGCATAAACCACACAGCAAACCAGACAGTTAGACAGACATTAACTATGCATCAAACAACACCACAGTAAGACATGCAATAGCCACTCAGTATACACAACCCATTTAAGAAACACAACAGAAGAAAGACGTTAGCCATACAGCAAACAACAACAGTAAGACAGTAGTAACCTCGCCACAACAACAACAGTAAGACAGTAGTAACCTTGCCACAAAAACAACAGTAAGACAGTAGTAACCATGCCACAAACACAACAGTAAGACAGACATTACCCATGCAGTAAACATAACAGTAAGACATACTTTAACCAAGCCACAAACACAATAGTTCTAGAAATATTAACCATGCAGCAAACATGACAAAATGAGCACCAAAACAAGGCATCAGCTGCATTCTACTCAAACATACAAAGCGGTAAATTATAACAAGTTGAGCTGAACCACTCACGAGCAAGTCGGGTTACAAGCACAGACATTTCAGAAATTCTAGAACTAAACAAACTGGTGACATATGCATAGATTATATATTTCCCCATAAGAAATGCCCACAAGGCAGTCAGCAGATACAATCTGAATGTTCAGACAAAGAGTTCTCTCAAGTGGTGTTTGCTACATTGAAGTTTAGATGTGCTACGAACAAAACACTCAACAACAAAAAAATCTACATAATCTCAAGGAATGTATGCTTATGAGATAATCAACAGGCTAGAGAAGTGATATTTGTAAAGACAAGATCAAGTATGATAAAATTAAATGTACTGTAGATTAACATTCACATGGAAAAAGTCAAACCAAATGTGTCCCAACTAACTGCCTATCAGAGAAAAAAATATATATGGTTTACCCTGTCACCCCATAAATGCCGAAATCTAGGTCCATTTGAATTTTTTAAAGCATATCTTTAGGCAGTGGTCACTACACTTTTGTAATAGCTTTGGTGCTGGTTGCAGCTGCACAGTGTGCAGATGATTTTTTAAACCCCCAGTTTCTACCCAGATATTTTTTGGAGTAAAAAATTGATCTTAAAATCTGACCTCATAATTTCCCAATTGCATCACATTGCTTTTTTGTGAAAAGTGATCAAAACCACCTATAGATGCAAATGAAAGGAAAAGCAATAAATTCTTTGCTCTGTTTGTATTTATGATTATAATCCTTTATGAAAAAATAAACCTTTTCTCAATTTAGTGATTGGAAAGATATTTCCTTTTAAATGACATCAAAGAACAGAGGGCGCATGCCAGTGTTCAACCCCATGACTATTTATAAAAACTGATCAAGACTCCCAATCTTGTTTCCTTTTATTTCTCTAGTTTCTTAAGGTAGAGTGTCCAAGAATTATAAGGATAGGTTTGTTTTTTAATTTGAAAAAAAAAAGGATCATTTGTTAAGATTCTTACGGGGGTGAAAAGTTTAAAGTTCTACCCCCATTCGGGTAAAGCAAAGTTAAGAAAACAAAACAACTGAAAAAGGCAGTCTTCAAGTTAGCAAACAGCAGACGAGCATAACAAGTTGTCGATTCAATGGTCCGATGTCTCTGTATAAAATGGCAATGCACTTATTGGATCATGGCTAAGCTTGGTTTTCTCTCTCAATTCTGCCTGAATGTCTTTCCTCTGTTTGGGAGCATACCAGAAAAGGAACAAATTATTAGTAATCAACACAACAGATGAAAATCATGACAAAATGAAGGATGGAAAAATGGTCAGTAACAGACTGTAAGTCATTGCATGTGTTGTAAGCAGTGTTTTCTTGGCAACTAAAGGGTGTTGTTTTGTTCCCTCTTGTATGAATTACCAGACTCATGGCTGCTCTCAAATTCCCTGTCAGGCTATCAGCGCGGTTCCAAGGTAATGATGACAAACTGGTGACCATATAATTGCTCTGCGCCTTTTCTGGTGACATAAAATGCTCATCCTTGATCCCATGTGAAAGAAATAGCGGCCAAAGGTGCCAACAGTCTCATTATGTTATTAGAACTGCTAATCACAGCTACTGGATTCAGCACGACTAATGAGCAGGCCTACATGCATTACTGCATAAGCACACCATCAATTCTCCCTGGGTGGCTTCTGGGGCCACACTGTGTGTGTGGTAGGGGAGGGGGTGTCAGAGTCACTGCCTCCTAACAAGAATGTCACAAGAGCTGACAAATAAGGAATGTTTCCTTCAAAGCTGGATAGAGTGCATCTACTTGAAAGATGAGCAACCAACAGTCTGCAAAAACACAATGAGTCAGATCTGTAAAAAGAGGTGCACATAAAACTAAGCTTCTGAAACATGACTAAAGTCCAGAAGTGGACAAACAACCAGGACTCTCTGCCCGAGTTAACAGCCGGTGAACGCAAAGATGAATATGTCGTTAACAACACACTCTTCTCTGACTTCGAGGTTGAGAGCTACTGTTATTTGGTTCACTTCTCTATGACTTGAGGGTTGTTGTTTACTCTTCTATGACTGGGTGGCAAATGACAAAGTGGCAAATTAGAGCCACTGCCTCCAAACACGCATGTCATAAGAGCTGACAAATAAGAAGCTGAACTAGACTATGCCGGGATTTCACAGATGAAAATGAACTAGACTATGCAGGGATTTTACACACGGAACTGAACTAGACTATGCTGGGATTTCACACAAAGAGCGAAACTAGACTATGCTGGGATTTCACACAAAGAGCGAAACTAGACTATGCTGGGATTTCACACAAAGAGCGGAACTAGATTATGCCGGAATTTCACACACAGGGCTGAACTAGACTATGCCAGGATTTTACACAAAGAGCAGAACTAGATTATGCCAGGATTTCACACACCGAGCTGAACTAGATTATGCCAGGATTTCACATACAGAGCGGAACTAGACTATGTCGGAATGTCAGACATAAAGGTGAACTAGTTTGCCAGGATGTCAGACATGAAGGTAACTACAGTTTGCCAGGATGTCAGACATGGAGGTGAATTACAGTTTGCCAGGATGTCAGACAAGGAGATGAGCTACAGTTTGCCAGGATGTCAGACATGAAAGTGAACTACCGTTTGCCAGGATGTCAGACATGAAGGTGAACTACAGTTTGCCAGGATGTCAGACAAGGAGGTGAACTACAGTTTGCCAGGATGTCAGACAAGTAGGTGAACTACAGTTTGCCAGTATGTCAGACATGGAGTTGAACTAAGAGTATGTCCAGGAAACCCAACACTGAGGTGAACTAGTGTACGCCAAGTGTGTCCTAAATACAGACAGAGAGATCAGTGGAAACATGAAACTTGGCTCATGAGCACCTCTACCTCTTAAGGCCAATGATTAGTTTACCGTAGCTGACCTATGGCATTCAGATTAAAATCTTTTGATGATTACCAGGTAAAAATAATCTACATCATCAGAGGTGAGAATCAGTGTCAAGATGCAAGTTCAGATGTTTCTTCTTCTTCATCTATCAAGATGCAAGTTTAGATGTTTCTTCTTCTTCATCTATCAAGATGCAAGTTTAGATGTTTCTTCTTCTTCATCTATCAAGATGCAAGTTCAGATGTTTCTTCTTCTTCATCTATCAAGATGCAAGTTCAGATATTTCTTCTTCTTCATCTATCAAGGGATTTGCAACTCAACTTATTATCCATATATTTAACAGAACAATGTATCTGACAGTAGCATGTCTATGTATAATATCTATTTACTCTAAATAAATTACATTCAACACAATCAAAGTATCGTCACCAAAGGAATATACCCAGGATCTCTCTATCCAAGCCAGGAGACTAGCAGGGTGTACAAGAATGGTACTGAACTCTTCACATTGAAATCCTTACAAAGTTAGACTGGATAGTTCATGGACAGGTCACACTATGTTGAGGTGCTTCAACATCAAGGTCAGAGTGAGATCTGATCCTGGTTTGGCAAACCTAGCAACCAGACAGAGGAGACAAAAAGATTAAACTGATTCTTCCAAAAGAACACCAGAGTCATTTATAAGATCAAGACCCACAAAAAATGGACCTCCATAATAAAATGCTGACTTACGTGATAGTCTTCTTCTCTTTATCTTTAACTTCTGGTCTTGCTCTGTTCAGCACTTTCAAGAATTCTGAAGTTTTAGCTCTCATACTCTGATGGATGTATGCCTGGGAATGAGAACATTACACGATATGACAGCCACATACTGGCTAATGTAAACAGATAGAGACTTATTTGGTGAAACAACACGTTTTTGTAAAGTACTATTTCTGCTGCAAATGGTTAAACTGGCCATTTGTTTATCTTGTTCTTTCTGTTGTTGTCTCAGTGACACCAGGTTGCAACCCAGTGTCATGGTTTATTGTATTTGTCTTGAGCTTCTCACCTTTATGGGTGTCTAAATTATATTTAACATTTGGCAACAACACAGATTCTGTTAGCTGGACAAGTCAGTCCAGTCATATACAAGATAAACATCAGCCTCACAAAAGAAAAGAAAGCAAACACTGGGGTCCTGACACCCACAGATGGTGATCTATCATTTAAAACCGTAAGGAAAAGACAATGAAGTTTATAAAGCACATCTACAGAAATGGTGCAACAAAGAGATAAGCCGCATATAGGGAAAATACCAAGCGAGAGAGGCACAGGAAGAAGCAGAGAAACCTCTGTGGAAAGCTAAAACAGCTCATAAAAAATAAAAGTGATCTCATAAACTTCAATAAAATAGTTCACGACAGTGAAAACAGGAAAATCACGATTTCCAGTCTGCACCAGATAATTTAGCACACAAAAAAAAAAAAAAAAATGGTAAAAATGAAAAACGCAAACAAAACAAAACATGGGGGGTGGGGGGTTTGAGGAAAAGGAAACAAAAATGACAGGGCTGGATTATTATGATAGGGGCAGTTTTGTGACACTAATAAGGGGCACCAAAAGAAAACTGGGTTCCAAAGCAGAAACAAAAGTTGTCATAAAAGTGCAATTATTAAAGCTTCAATTAATGCAAATACACGGTTCGGAAATAAACAAGTTGCGGCACTGCCATTCTGCATGCCAGCTGCAGACACTCACCTTGGAACACTTTATATGGTAATGAAGATAGTCCCTAAGCATGTGAATCAGGTTAATTGTGTTGTCTCTGGCAGCCTTGTTTGTATGTCTCGGAAACAAAACTGGAACAATAAAGACAAGCAACACATTAACCACACATGAAAGAAGATCTATACAACATGATTCGTTGCAAAGTTAGGGATCTTTTTCTGATGGTGTATGCTGCATACACTGGTCATGTCTTTTCGCTGATAATTATTTTCTGGGATAAATTTACCTTTTTTTGTTGTTGTTTTTAATTCGTGAAGTCTCAAAGAGAAATGGGTGGCTGACTGATTGAGATATCTAACCTAAGTATTTAAAAACACAGGTTTGAATATGCTCACTATCATCAGTATTTCACACGAAAAAAAGTTTGAGAGTTCATAGGTCGTCATCTCAAAAGATGACATGTCAGGTCTGTGCTCTTGACTCTGTCATGTGACCAAGCCATCCAGATATTTAGTTCTGCATACAGATTCTGATGCTAGGGCAGACTCAACCTCATATACACAGGAACCACAATATGTTTGAGATTTGTTGATGAAGGTGTCAAGGAAGAGAACTGATTACTCCACCCCATTTGTTGCAGCCCAGAATATATGAAGACCTTGCACTTCGTACCCCAATGGACCACATGCAGGTTGGGGCCCTATTGTGGGGATAACAAGAATAGACCCACTGCCTCCCCAAAAAGTGTATAGTAATAGTCGACTAACTGGGGGCTTCATCTGAAGTAGGAGTGCATTTGCCTGACATGCAAGGAACCAACAGTCTGCATACAAATAAGTCAGATCTGTAAAATGGATGTTCACGCAACTCTAAGGTTCTGGAACAAGAATAAAGTCCAGAGGTGGACAAACAACCAGAACTTTCTACTAAGTTTACAAAACGCAAAGATGAAGATATCCCAGTGAAAGAATCTGCGATAGAACTACATTCACCTTGGAATTAAAGATTCCCATTACCACAATGGTGACACCTCCTATTTATGCAGCTACTGTGAGCGAAATGTAACAATGTTAAACAGAAACAATGTCCCATCCAACTAAAGCTAGATAACTTATTTGTAAGCCATACAGCCAAAGACAAATACCAGATGTGATATAACATTCAGGTGCCAGAATATACTAAATATAACAAATCAGCATATACCAAAATGTGATTTAACATATATCCCCTGGTACATACCAAATGTGATCTAACATATATCCCCTGGTACATACCAAATGTAATATAGCCTATGTTATCTCCGGTACGAGCATCTGTGTCCTGCAACTCCTGAGGAGGTTCCTTGTGGCTGAACAAAACCTGAGGCGCCTGTTGGTACTTTCTCCTACCTTCTTTAAATTCCTGACAAGATCAAAAGAAATATACACTTAGAACTGTTTTTTAAACAGTCAGCACTGAACCAACACAACTCTACTGCATTCAAGCTTCAAATGAAAAATAACCATGCTACTGCCTAGGAACCTGTCAATATTGTTAAGGACGTCAAGGGTGTTAAGCATGTGACATTATAAAGATGACTGCCCCAGTTTACAAGACAATGACACAGTCACTGTAACTCTTATCACTGTTTAAGGCTTTCACAGCCATAACGAATTTGTTTGGTACAATCAGTTTTGGGTTTTCTGAGTGTTAAAGGTCAATTTTATTTTACACCTAGATACCTCAAAAAGTGCTTCAGTCTCATCCCACTGATTGCATGAGGAGAATCTCAGCACAGCGTATGAACTAAATCAACAGTGTTAATTCAAATGTGTGTATTGCAGAATCTATAATGATAGTTAGAAATATTCATTTGTGCGTTGGTTTTTGTGACAGTTATGATCAGTTGATACTGGTCGCAACCCAATTCTGGAACTTCACTAGGCAAACGACACAGTCCTCCCTTTGAACAGTGTAAAGGGATTAGAAAAATGTATCATGCCTGTCCAAAATCAAAACGTGCTGCTCAACTTGAAGAAAACAAAAATAATTGCACAGAAAACTGACTGTCAACATACCCCCCTTCCCCCCTATGTAGTACAGTGGCTAGTTCTGTATTTGTGTAGCCCAAGCAGCAATCATGAGGCAATGTGGTCAGTAGGATGGAGATACCTTTACTTCTCAGATCATTTACCCATTGTAAGTTGAGTGAACGTTGGAGATACAGACACATCCCAAGCAAATGAAAGAAGACTGCATTACTTATAGAAGACATTTAGCTCGACCTAGGAATTATGATCAAAGGAGGAGAGTCGGCACAGAACCAACAATTTATCGGTAGACTGCAGATCATAGACTGGTAACAGACAGGGCTCCACAGAGAGCAATAATACTGCAGCACTGAGCCAGATGTTGACAGCAGAAAACTGGAGACATTGGAAATTATTTTAAATGAAGCAAACAGATTGGCTAATTCCAGAGATCGACCTATATGCAGATGACCTGGCCATATGGACCCAAGCTGAACATATAGGAACAATTAAAACAAGAATGAAGGAAGCTGCAAATACAGTTAAGAAATGGACAGACTCTTAGGGAGTCACAATAAACAAGATCAAAACCACCTTGACTCTGTACTCTCTTTCCACAAAGCTAGAACAAGTTGATCTGTACCTAGAAAGCAACATCTTCCAAAAGAAAAAACCCGCATATCTGGAGTAAAATTTGACAAAAAGCTAACCTGGGGCTCCCAAACTAAGACACCCAAAGAAAAGCTACCCTGCGGCTCAAACCTATGAAGAAAATGGAACAAGCTGGGGTGCAGATGCCAACACTGTACAACAAGCAAACTCAGGATAAGGATGACAAAACTGGAGTATGGCATAGGAGCATATTTTACTGCAGCCAAATCAAACCTACATAAACTGGACAAAATACAGAACACTGGTCTCAGAATCATCATTGGAGGTATGAGAAGCTCACCAATCCATGAGCTGGAGGCAACTTCTGGCCTCCATAGCTTAAGCCATCAAAGGGAAGGAAAGGTGCTTACCCTAACAGAAAAATTAAAATGCATGAACAACCCCATGCACAGAATAGAAACCAACTTAACTAAAAACTTACTGACAAGACAAAACTTTCACCATCAATCAAAACTGTACTACGCAAAAAACACTTTCTGGTCTTTCTAAAGACCAGGCATACAGCATAGACCTAAAGCCTAACTATACAGGCCTAATAACAATCCCAGGCATAGACAGAAACACTGAAGAATGTGACCTAGTACTGCATGCAAAGACCCTTGAACATGTCCACAACTCTTATTCAGAACTTGAATGGACATATGTATATACCGATGGATCACTGGATGGAGCAGAAAAAAACCCGGAGGAGCTGAATCGGTCATCATGTTGCAAGAGGGACAGCAGTAGAAACACGCGCCTCCAAAGACTTTCAACAAACTTTAGAGCAGAGCAACAAGTAATTACTGATTCAGCCTAAGTACTTGAGGAAAGAAATTAAAAACAGCAAAATTGTTTTCCTTTGTGACTGCATATCAGTCCTCCAGGCGACTAAGAGGGATCCACTCGACAACAGACTCGCCAGCTAAACAGACTTTGGGAAAACAATCAAATCGTTCTCCAGTGGATCCAAGCTCACTGTGGCATACCCTTATACAAGAAAATGAGTAAGCAGACTTGCAAAAAAAAAAAGGAGAAACAAAATACCCATTCATTGTCATTACCAGAAATCAAAACACTCAAGGGAGAAGAAAATGCAAACGGACTATGAAGAGAACAAACTAACAGTAAACATCTGCAAGACCCCATCAGCAGACTCAACAGAAAGCAACATACAACAATTTTCCATCTACGAACAGGATACTGCAGGATCAAATACCAATTGAATAAAATAAAGATTGTACAGTCCCCACAGTGTGCCTGTCAGACAGGACCACATTCTACAGACCTGCCCACTCTACTCACAACTTTGAAAAGACACCTGGCCTCAAGAGCAAAGTGTGCAGAGCAAGCTATGGGGAACCATGCAGGACCTGCTGCTGACATGCAAAGTCTGATCTGAGCATACGAAACCGAACGCAAAAGAAGAAAGAATTCCAGAGATCTCTTCTTGCCCGGACATTGCGAAGCATTTCAGGAGTAGAGAAAAAAAGAAGACATGTATCTAGAATGAGCCTGTTTTTCTAGAACAGAGTAAAACGAGTTCAACATAATTATCTATCCCTAATTACACATAAAAAGTAAAACAACAGACCTGCATGAAGACTTTGCCTATAACAACATCATCATCATCTTTAAATATGGTGCTAAAAATGACAGTCACTCGGTCCTTCTTGGCTTCAACATACCTGTAAATAAGCACCACATATGTAGAGACAAATATTTGAGTTTGGATTCAATAAATCATCTATGATAAAGTCAAACTTCTTAAAAAGACACTGTTAGGACCCAATAAAATTAATATGTTTAAGAAAATGTATGATCTACAATAAGTTTCACAGACTGGTTCCTTTGGCCTTTTTGGGCTCTAAAATACTAATTTCGAACCAGACAAGCAATGTACAACTCCATTCCCAGTTCAAGAAGTCAGCAGTGCCTTCTCCATGACTACCAGCAGCATGACGATGGAGGTGATGGCGGTGACACAAGCTTTCATATGGCTAGAATCACAGGACTTATCATGTGTGTGTGTGCTGAGTGATTCTTCGAGCATTATCCGGCGGGTTGAGGACACAGACAGTGAATTCCTTCTTCTTTCATCGTTTGAAATAGATTATCTATATCTGCAATGTTGTCTCTAGTATGAACTTCAATGTGATTTGTAAATCACTTGCTGTTGGTAATGAAAGAGCTGATAGACTAGCAGGTGCCACATTAATTGAAGATGGCCAGCCAATGGATCATACAGACATTGTCATTAGAGAGATGAGATGTTCCAAGGATTTTGGAAGCAACGTCTCCACATCACTGATAACAATACGAGAATTGGGAGTAAAGATTGGCATGAGAAGCACACCGGACACACACACAAAGTCTTTTTTCAAACAGCATAGGACTGGCACTATTAACCGAGCAACACTGATGTACATGTAGAGGGGGGAACCTGAGCACCTATGAAAATAATCCAACTCATTTCTATCACACTCTTGTTCAGGTCACTGTAGACGCTAGACACAGGCACTGTTTGGAGCCGTGACAAATTTTTTGCTTCTGCCAGATGGTGGCCGTTGCATTTTTGCTCCATTTGTAGACTGACAGGATATAGTTTTGTCGCCCAGCTTCTGAGCTGAATGCATAGCGTAACGCTATGAGCTGTGGATTTAATTTGGAATGTTTTTTCGACTGTGAACAACGTGGTGGTGTGAATTGTAGATTCAGAAAATGGCGCGATGCCTGTTGTCGCAATGTTGGTGGTGCCCTTATGTGATTAAAATTGATCGCGTGGGTTGGTCATGTCTGCAGTACACACAGACTGGCTAGCATTAATACCAGGTTGGTATATCTACAGTACACACAGAATGGTTGGGATTATGGACTTGCCAGATGTGGATAATCGGTCAATTAACCAACTTATTTAATGTCACAAACATAGGCACACATTAACATCACAAAGAAGCAGACAAGTATCAAATGAAAAAGTTTTAGCTTACATTGTTTCATCATCTCTGTAGTGAATGACAGCTCTTGAATTTCCCTCATTGCCATTCTCTTGGAACAGGAAATATTTCTCAAAGACAGAGGCAAAACAATTTCGTTTGAGAAGACTTGCTTTGTTGATGAGCTCTTGCCAGTTAGAAGGGACATTTTCCAGGTTGAATTCAATGGACACATTGTAACCTGAGGGGAAAGAAAACAAACAAACATGCAAATCTTTATTATGCTTGTTAGTAAATTATGGAATGGTTTATTTAAAAAAAAAAAGAGCACCTGTCACCAGTTCAGTCAATAGTATAAGTGGAAAAGATTGAGGCTTCACCACGTATTATTATCAAAGAAGGCAGTGGGTGCGCTGTACCCAACCTTTATCATGGAGAAAGCACATCAATTCTATTTGTGTACATTATCAAATGGTGTATAGCCAGCTGAGGATCTTCAACATTTGTCAGTACATGTGTGACGTCTACATCTAACCACCCAGGGGCATTTTTTCAGCAAATTTTCCAGCCCCCAGTAAATGTTACTTTCTTCTTTTTTTGTGTGTGTGGTCATCTCACTGACACCAGCTTGTAGCTGTCTTGCGCTTCCTGGGTGGCTTGAGTGACAGTTGTAGTTAATCTGTAAATAGGTTTTAGCTACATCATTTATCTATTTCTTTCTTGGTCCCCCCCCCCCCCACCCCCCCCCCCCCCGACAATTCCTCTCAGATCTCTTGTAAAGTCTCATATGCAGCTCGTTAACTTAACAGCCTGTTATTTTAGGAAACTAATGCTTGAACAGACAGGGTTTCACATGACAGCCCGATATTCAATGAAGGTCAATGTCACGTAAGAACAGTCAAGGACTTTTCATATGCTTCGGAATATAGTGATAGACCTATTTCTTGAAACTCTACCACACCATTGTCCCGTTTTTTTCAGGAATTTTCTAACCTGCCACTATACAGCTGTCCTGATTTTTGGGAATTTGCATATTATGTGATAAAACTCTTGGTTAGTCATTGTGTGTGTTTGGATTTACTTTGTGTGGTTTAATGTGAAAAAAATTATGAAAGTTCACAATGAAACGCCAAGCACTTCGACAGAAAAGTGAAGTAGGTCAAGGCTTTTCATAAGAGATTGATACTTTTGTTGATTCAGATTCTGAGTAGTCAGAATTTAATGAAGAATACGTTCCCAGTTGAAGTTACAATCAGCGAGAGCTCGAATGATGGGGATAATCTTGAAAACTATGAATCTAGAAATAGATCGATGGTAAGAGAAGGAGGCGTGTCCCTCAAGCAGCAACATCGTGTGCTCACTGTGTGAAACACGGCTGATCCTGCTGGGTGGATTGGCACACAAAGGTGGATTACTGGCGCTAGATGAAAGGCACACCTATTTTTTACAATGTCTCCAAGTTTTATCTTATTTAAACGACTTGTTTGCATGTAACTAATATTTGGTATATCATTTTGGTTTTTTCGTGTAAAAGTGCAGAAGCTGAGTATAGACCAACTGACTTCAACTTCCCAGATCATTACCTGGTACCTATTGTTTGCTGGGTGGACTTAAGTATCACAGTTTAATTTGGGGAGGGAAGAAAAAAAAAAACTACCTCATTAAAATCATTTGACTTCCTAGTGTTGGTGACTTCCACAGACTGCCTTGTGTTGGTGATTTCCACAGACTTCCTTGTGTTGGTGACTTCCACAGACATCCTAGTGTTGGTGACTTCCACAGACATCCTAGTGTTGGTGACTTCCACAGACTTCCTAGTGCTGGTGACTTCTACAGACTTCCTAGTGTTGGTGACTTCCACAGACATCCTAGTGTTGGTGATTTCCACAGACTTCCTTGTGTTGGTGATTTCCACAGACTTCCTTGTGTTGGTGACTTCCACAGACTTCCTAGTGTTGGTGATTTCCACAGACTTCCTTGTGTTGGTGACTTCCACAGACTTCCTTGTGTTGGTGACTTCCACAGACTTCCTTGTGTTGGTGATTTCCACAGACATCCTAGTGTTGGTGATTTCCACAGACATCCTAGTGTTGGTGATTTCCACAGACTTCCTAGTGTTGGTGATTTCCACAGACTTCCTTGTGTTGGTGACTTCCACAGACTTCCTTGTGTTGATGACTTCCACAGACTTCCTAGTGTTGGTGATTTCCACAGACTTCCTTGTGTTGGTGACTTCCACAGACTTCCTTGTGCTGGTGACTTCCACAGACTTCCTTGTGCTGGTGACTTCCACAGACATCCTAGTGTTGGTGACTTCCACAGACATCCTAGTGTTGGTGACTTCCACAGACTTCCTAGTGCTGGTGACTTCTACAGACTTCCTAGTGCTGGTGACTTCTACAGACTTCCTAGTGTTGGTGACTTCCACAGACTTCCTAGTGTTGGTGACTTCCACAGACTTCCTAGTGCTGGTGACTTCTACAGACATCCTAGTGCTGGTGACTTCCACAGACTTCCTAGTGCTGGTGACTTCCACAGACATCCTAGTGCTGGTGACTTCCACAGACTTCCTAGTGTTGGTGACTTCCACAGACATCCTAGTGTTGGTGACTTCCACAGACATCCTAGTGCTGGTGACTTCCACAGACATCCTAGTGTTGGTGACTTCCACAGACATCCTAGTGCTGGTGACTTCCACAGACATCCTAGTGCTGGTGACTTCCACAGACTTCCTAGTGTTGGTGACTTCCACAGACATCCTAGTGCTGGTGACTTCCACAGACATCCTAGTGTTGGTGACTTCCACAGACTTCCCAGTGCTGGTGACTTCTACAGACTTCCCAGGGTTGGTGACTTCCACAGTAAAGAAAACCCCACAACCCCCAAATGAAGTAAAGAAAACCCAACAAACCCCAGCTGAAGTGAAGAAAACCCCACAAACCCTAAAGTTTTAGAAAACCAGTACCTGACTCTGTTTCTGTGATAAGACCAGAATACTCTCTTTTGATTAGCTGAGGAAGACCCAAAAAAATACATATAAACACACACACACGAAGAGAATGTTAGAGAACATCAGCCACCTAAACATTTGAGCCTGGAACAACATTCAGTGCTAGAAACTTGAGACACAGAACATCCTATGTTCTTGTGAGACACAAGCTTATGACGGTGACCACAGCAAATATTTTATCATGACTGAGGTCAACAAACACTCCACTAGATGCTCAGTCGTCCAATGAGTGAGACAAGAAGGTACCAGGCCTGTGCACCCAATTCTTAACCCGTTGAAAACAGACTGATTTAAGAACCGACATCACAGCAATCAGGGCATTCCCATAATTGCTCCGTCCCCATCTTTAGCAGCCAGCGAAGAGTTCCCATACTAATGGTGCCAGTAGCATTCTGATTAAACATCCGTCTTGCCTTTCCTCTGAGCCTCGAGCATCTGCCAGAACTTGTCGTCACTCAACCCTTGCATCAATCTCACCAGACTGTGGTGATCCATCTGCTCCATCGAACTGTACATGCTCTGCCACAAGACACTAACCACGTCTGCCTTACGTGCATCAGTATTCCACCAAGTTGTGCAGAGCCAGCCAGTCTCTGCCTGTTCATTTCCCAACACACCGAATTGCCCAAGTGAAAAAAATCCAGACAATACTCCTCACCCGTGTCCTCCGCAACGAGGCATGAATGTCCTGATCTTCCTCAGCATGCTTTTTGAGTCAGTTACTATCATGATGCGCGTGTATGTGTTGTGTTCTCTAACCAGCGGAAAGCTGCAGTGACCGCCTCCACCTCCATTCTTAAGTTAGATTCTGAAAAAACGCATCCCCGTAAACATCAAGGATTGCATTGTGAAACGATTTTCGTCAAACTACAAGCCACAAAGAAGTAATGGACACTATCTACACTAACAGATGCGTTTAACAATACACACTTGACGCACATACATGAAACAGCTTACCCAATCTAATGTCACATAACACACATACCTCTGACTGCCAAGCCACTGCTGTCAACGAAACATTGTCTTCCATTTTTGACAATGTTTTTGATGGCATTTTGTAAGAATTATCAAAGTCAGTCACGAAACTGTTCAGAAATACCTTCACCATCCCATTTATAACAAACAAGACAATATCCCATAGCAAACCAAATCTCCAAACTCTTCCACATTGCCAGATCCATCTGGTCAGCGTTTTCAAAACATTTATTTATGCACCATCGACATGGGAGTTCACCCAAAAAAGCTCTACATTTCAACTACATTCATTGCAATTTTAAAATGATGGCGAGTGCCCATAGTTATGATCAAGGGATGTGCAATCGGGGTAGCCAGGTGTTAACATCTGCGGATCACATAACGTCCGATCATGGTAATAAGTGGGTGAATGTAACAAACCACCGTTAAATTATCAAATTTTGTGCAGCTGCTGATCAATCCCTGATGGTAGCGTGACCCCATGAATATAATTTATCTATAAAAATATTTCAAAAACTTCATAAAATGATCATTTATATAAAAAAAACATTAAAAATTACCTCATCCGCCCCATGCTGTTGAAGTTCTTTGTAAAATTTCAATGATATGCTCACCTGCAAAAGACACGGGGATAAACCAACAAATGTGATAAATCCATAAACATAAAACATCTAATATCAAACATGTACTAGCGGAGCTATTTTATTATTTGCATTTGTGTTACCAATATTTACATAAAACACACACAAAAATCTCCACTGGTCTGTTTACAAGTGACTAAATGTTTTCCAATGTCCCAATGCAAGAAATCTGTTTAGTCTGTTCTACTGCCATGGTCCTTTGCTTCAGCCAAGATTGATGTTGCAAGAGATTATTTCACAAGTACTGATTGACACCCATGTAAGAAGAGAAATGTCTTGTCAATCATGAAGTCAAGACAGAATCTCAATGAATCAACTGTGTGTAGATATCTATTCCACTGTTTGTTCATCCTCCCAACATGGCAGATTTCTATTCCCCTGTTTTTTTACCCTCTCAACATGGTAGATATCGATCAAAGTCTCATTATGTGGGAAACATGGTACAGTACTGTGTGCAACAAGCTGCTTCTTATTTCTGAAACTCCCCTGATATAACCAGCATTCAGTGTCACTGGTTACCAACAGGACTCATATTCAAGCTAACACTGCTAGGCAGAATATAAATAAATACAGTGGAGAGATAATATCCAGGCACATCTACAAACACTTGGAGTCGTCAAATGGAAAGATAGGACAAATCAGAAAACATCTGCAGAAATGAATCTCAAGTGATCAAGAAGATACTATAAATAAATACTGAGCTGGAATAAATAAGAAATGAATAAAGAGGGGTGGTCAAAGAAAATAAGAAAACATTGACCGATTGACACTAAGTTAAAAAAAACAAATTATGAATCACCACAAAAACGTATCAAAAAATGTTTAGAGACAAATTTCTACAGTTACAGGTAAACCAGATCTGTAAACTTAATGTGCATGCAAAACTCATGTTCTGAAATGAGACTAAAGAGAAGAATTTAAAAAAAAAAACTGGATGAACAGTCAGAACATAGCACCCGAGTTTACAGCCCGTGAACAAGATGAGGAAGATTTCTACATGAGATACCACAATAGGAGATAACATCACGTATATACAACACTAAGGCAACATACTCTGATCCTGTTTTTGTTTCCTTCTGGGTTAGACAGGTGAAACAAAACTCCATCAAAATCTGCAAGAAGGAAACAGTTGTATGTTATGTAAGTAGTAATAGCAGTGTATTTGGCATCACATATCAATTCAGATTGTAGGTGACTGTGATACCACAGGTGACTGTTGCTGTAGGTGACTGTGATACCGTAGGTGACTCTGTTATACTGCAGGTAACTCCATGAAATTAACTAACTGGATAGACATGTAGGCAATAATTCAATACAGATTCCAATCACCGTGACTACTAGTTTTGTTTCTGAGCCACGGTCATGCCAAAGGAATAAAAAGATGGTTGCTGTGGTTGCGTAAAAAAAAGTGATGAACAAGAAAAAAAAAAAAAGAGAAATGTGTGGAGAGCTGCTGGTATTAACAGTTATAAGATAGAGGATAGCAACATATTGGGTCCATCATGAGATGAGGGAAACAGGGAATCATATAACAGCGACTGAAATGGGAAACAAATGGACTGAGAAAATGAGGATGTCCAATAGAAACCACAAGATGAACACTGATGAGACAGGCTGATGAAGCTGGACCGGATTCCATCCATGATACTGAAACAACTGCAAAGGATAGAATAAAAATGAAAGAAAAAAACAGAGAGCTTGATGTGATGTATAATGCCATAAGAGGATGATAATGATGTTGATCATGCTGTGGCTAGTTCTGCAAATACTGTGAACAATATAGCAAGGTCACGGCAAACATCTTAAATGCTGTGTATTTAAGTGGATACTATTCAGCTTTTTCACCCCATCTGACCGGGTGCTAGATTTCATAGGGAATTTCCCAGGACAGCCCTACAGCCTAGGGGTGTTAGGGTTAGTCTTAATTGCTGTTCATTTAACACTAAAACTATACTATAGGGATGTCATGTATTGGTTTACTTCAGCGATGTTACTGTTTTTTGCATTGTCATCTCCAGTGTGTGTTACTTTTATTCGTTCCTCACTCCCTCTTTGCCAGCATTCCTGCATCTAACTACAACCGTTTAACAGTCATTTACAGAAAAGATAACTGCTCCCTTTTGTTTGGGAGAAAAGACAAGCTGTTGACCCGGGCAAACAAAGGCATGTCATAACATATTTTGACTACAGGACTGTCCCGGGGAATTCCCAATGAAATCTCACATCCGACAAGATGGGATAGAAATGCTGAATAGAACTGAATAGTGTACAGATGTAGTCTTTCTCCTGAGATGCTATTTCAATCATTCAACAGATATAGTTATTCAATACAAAGGAATGTATGTTACCTGCAACTGTGATATCAATGTTTTCTGGCTTTCCTCTGGAAAAAATATTAATACAGATATATCATTAAAACCTATTAATAAAAATACATAATAATTTTGTTACAAAAAAAAACTATGCAAATATGCAAAAACAAATAAATGGGATATTTAACCCTTTTAGCACGGGAAGTTTTTCAGAGGTCTAGCCAAAAACACGGAGCATTTTTCAGTGAATTTGGTTATTACTTTATTTAATTTTTTTGACAGATTTCTGTTATTCTGACCACTATGAAATAATATATCTATTTGAAGGATATAGATTGAAGTTCGTGATTTTCACAATATCGTTAAAATTAATTGATGTATATGCAAATTATCTCATTTGCATATCTAAAAATAGAAAATATGAATTTGAATTTTCAACTTCAATGCTTGAAACATAAAACTAAAAACAAAATTTTTTTTTATTTGAAATCTTTTTATTGATCTTTGGCCTTTTTACAAATGTTGTAAGCAATTCAATAGTCAAAAACATGTATATATATGTGAAACAGCAATAATATCTTTAGGTGACATGTGTTTTTCACCATCAGTCAGCACTATAAATGGATGTGCCGGAGTGTCAACACCTTCGGGTGGATATACCCTGAGCCATGGTTGGGCTGTGGTCTGAACACAACAGCGTCCCCATCTGATTCCCACTATAACTACTAACACTAAATCCTGCATCAGTATCAACAGAATTAGTGTAATCACTTGATTCAAATGTTTTATCAACATCAAGTTTAGGGGCAGAAACATACGAGTCAGACATACTTTTAGCGGTTCAGGTCACTATCTAAAAAATTCAACAACAATTTTCACTTCGATACCAAACACTCGAAAGTCGCCATGTGTAAAGCTGATACCGCAGTTAATATAAATGAATCACTTTCAGTGTTTCAAAGTAGGAGATTTCTTAGCGGTTCGAGGCAAAACACGATCGGGCCGATCATCGGCCGTTCCGTGTTTTTGGCAAGACATCCGCCGGCCGATAATCGGCCCGTCCGTGCTAAGAGGGTTAAGCTGCCACCCAAGTATTCTTGTTTTCTGGATTGTTTTAATTAGACTAGACAAAATGCTAAATGTAAATGGCATGTGTTTGTGTCATGTTTCTCACCACATTTACGCATCTTTAGTTTGATATAAATGATTCTGACTTTCAGCGGAGCTGTTGGGTGCAGTGGCCACATGCCTGTCTGTCAACCTAGTGGTAAAGTGTTTTAACACCCTCTTCAAATAGTAGTTCTAGTCTACATAGACAAATTTAAGATCTTGTCTAATCTCTTTTCTGTTCATCCTTTTTACATTCTATTCTTTTGCCCTTCAGTATGCTTGTATGCTGCATATTATATCTTCTTAGATGCAGATGGACCTTTTATTTGTTGAATACTGATATTATTAGAAATTTGTTTATTATTTTTTTGTATAAAAAAACAACCGATTATATCATCATGTAGGCACAAGCACACAAGTAAAACATCACGAGCCTGGAGTTCGTGTAACAGCATGCAAAACTGACTGGAAGATGAAATATATGAAGACAGTAAAGAAGACCTTTAATCAAGCCGAAGCTAACAGAAAAAGATATTTCATCTCGGAACATATAAATTAGAGAGAGGACAACGGAACACACTTGCTGTGTGAAGAAGACACCTGAAACAGGCATTCAATCAGAGTGAAAAACACCCACACACAAAAAAAAAATCACTAATACTAACAAACATGAAATGTGACCGGAAGGTTCAACTAACGACATAAAGACCAAAGTCAAGAAGTGGACTAATAACCAGAACTTTCTTACAGCAGAGGAATCGCTAATACAAAGAAAATTAATTTTATTATATACTTTACTAGAAAACCAAGAACAGACCCAATGCCTGCCCAAAAGCATGTTAAAAGAGGCGCTTAATCAAGAGCTTCCTTTGAAGTCAGAGTACATCTGCTTGAGAGGCAAGGAACCAACAGTCTGCATGCAAATGAGTCAGACCTATGAAATGGATGTGTGCGCAACTCAGTTTCTGGAACAGGACTAGAGTCCAGAAGTGGATGAACAACCAGAACTTTCCAAGAGAGTTTACAGCCAGCAAAAGCAAACAAAATAACAAAACACTACCAAGTGGTAGAGCCAAACAATGTCAACAAACAAAACCTTTAGTAAGATCATTTCTGTCTACAGTTTGTCTCCCCAATCGAGTCTCTGACACTAGTCAAAAGAAAGGATTAGAAACCAAGCAAATGAATTTATTATAATTTTTCTTAAGTAAAGTAATTGCAGTGTTAAAATATGAACACGCCTGGCCATATTCAGACTAAGGACTGGGAACAATGGACTTCATAAAAAAATGTTCAAATTTTTCAGTTTATAAAATAGAGACGTGTCCCTGTAGCGTGGCACCCGAAAATGCTGAGCATGTGCTCCAATACTGTCAACTGTATGCTGACAACAGAGATGCAATCTCAGAATCCGGCTTGTTCCAACCACAATGAAGACAAACACAAAGCTGTATGGTATAGGAGAGGATTTCCGATATGGACTCGACTGCATGATAGCTTTCATAAAGGCAGGCCTCCTAATATAAGTATTCTGACAGAAGGATCAACGAAGAAGATGGCCACAGGCAGTTATAATAAAAAAAAAAAAAAACTCAGACATAAACATCATACGTTTAGGAATGAGGATTTTCCTTTTGTTCAGAATGTTTTTTCTATGTTGATAATAATGCGTCTGTCAATGACTAACAACACAAACTTCATGTGCCGGTGGCGTAAATTTCGCTTATTTTGTAATAATTATCATTGGACAGTTCGGCTTAATGTTTTTGTGGGCTGTTGCCAATGAAGCAGCTAACTGTTTACTGTACTGTTACCTCATCAAGTACATATAAACAGCCGTCAACATTACATAAGTTACGCCTGTATTCAGGAAGTGAAAATAGGCGTCTCCTCGTCCCCAAAGATGCCGTGCCGACCGGAAATATGAGTTGATGGAGAAAAACACATCACATAAGGCTAAATTAAGGCTTACAAAAACATATGAATTTATTACCCATCTAGAGCATTCTTGATTTTATAAGTCAGTGTTTCCTGAATGATACGATTGTTCGTCTCCAGGAGAATCATGTTGAACTGGCTGACAGTTGAGAAGACAGAACCGAGAAGTTATCCGTTCCGCCCGAAGATCAAAAGAGGAAGTAGCCATACAACAACATGGCGTCGTTTAGACCAGAACGATTGGTCAGCCGTGTCACATGGTCTTTGTATCAGGTTTTGCTATCTGTTTCCGGTACGTCTAGACGTCCCTGGTCTTTCATTTTTCAATCTTTTTGCGGTCCTTTTAAAATTCTAAGTATAACATATACAGGATATAACGGAGGGAAGGAATATACTGCGAGTCCTATGTGAGTGGCCTATAACAGCAGGACAGGGTGATCTTCTGTCAGAGAAAACCGTCTTAATTTTCAACTCATATTCTCCTTTGGACCTGAGTGTCTTGCATAGCAGGTACTAGTCGTGATAGCGGCCCAAACATTGTATTGTCATCCAACCAAAGCAGTCCTCAGGTGGGATGCAATTTTTCGTTTTTTGAAGCCCTACTCTGGCTCTTGTCATGGGCTGCAATATAGTCCGTCCATAAATATGGTCTAATTACTGAACGCGGTTTCTGGGACCTCTCCACGGGTGATCCTCATCCACATGGTGGCCCTTTGTGTCATCGGGTGTTTATCGCTTGTGTGATGTCCTGGTGGGGTGAAAAAAAAAGATAGATAGATAGTATTTGGACTGGTCTACGCTACAGCGGTGTCAAATATTACACGCACGACGAAGTCTAGAAAACCAAACAAACAATTCTTTTATCCGGCCACGAATATAAGCAGTACACTGACAGCCCCTAGTCCCCCACTCAGACCCCTTACCACACACACACTCCGTCACACTTTAGCGTTGTAATAATTCTACCTCCGCTCCCTTACACACTAGGTCACCTTTCATTTGTGTTTGGTCAGGCTGGTCAACGTTGCTCAATGTTACAGGGGTGTCGCGGTGTACTTTTCTGTTCGAAAAGCTTTTTGCATTGTCTTAATCGACCGCTGATATCGCGTGTTGTATATTCCAGGATGTCAACTCTTTTAACGGTCCCAAAACATGCAGAGCTGGCCCTAACACCGACACCCCAACGAGAGTGCAGCCTACGTCACACTCTATCTCTTTCTCAGATGGAAAACGTAAATGGAAGACAACGCAGAAATTGTCTTCACCTGCCGGTCATATCGCGTGTTGTTTATTCCAGGTTGTTGGAGATTTTAACGGTCTCAAAACATGTAGAACTGACCTTACCACCAACCCCACCCCCATTCCCCCAGAGTGCAACATTGACCAGCCTGACCAAGCACCAATGAGAAGTAGATTAACATGACATTTTCTCAATGAAAGGTCACCACTACTCTGTTTGCTAAGGAAACATGGCAGTTACAATGCAAAGAAATAGAGGATCTTGAAATAAAACACAGAACCAAGGAAATACATGCAAATATAAGAAAACTTACAAACAAGGAAAAACATTTAACAGGAAATGGTTGTATTAGGGGGAAGGATGGAAAAATTATTGTTGATAAGAAACATATAATAAAAAGATGGTCTGAATACACAGAAGACCTGTTTTGGGACAACAGAGGTGACAAACCGGCAATCCATAATATTCAAGAGGGACCAAACATATTAAAGTCTGAAGTAGAGAAAGTCATTAAACAGACGAAGTAGGGAAAAGCTGCAGGTCCAGACAACATAACTGCAGAAATGTTAAAATCATTATCTACTTTTAGAATTGATACTATCGCAGAAATATGCAATGACATTTATAACTATGGGTACATTCTAGGGCTGTACCGAATATTCGCTTCGTATTCGCTTCGGGGCCGAATAGTGGACCTACTAGCTATTCGGTATTCGGCCGAATAGTGGCGGTCGGGCCGAATACGAATAGTGATTTCTGCATACACTGCGATGGACTGAAATAATTCTCTCATTAATAATGTCACAATTTATAGCCGACTTTTCTTGATTTTCGCCGCGGCACCCCTGTCATATGCACCCAGTTTTAGAACCTCTGCTGTAATGCCTCGGAGTCAGGCGGTGTTACCACGCAAACGGGTCGCCGTTTTTCCCGCTACGAAAGATTTAGGCATCGCTACTGTTGTGTTAAAGAAGGCATGAAGAAACTTGAAAGTGTATCTCTCTCTCTCTCTCTGTGTGTGTGTGTGTGTGTGTGTGTGTGTGTGTGAGAGAGAGAGAGAGAGAGAGAGACAAAGAGAAAGCATGCATTTTGTTGTTCTTTCGGGGTGTCTTTTCCCAAATCAAATTGAAGATATTGCAAACGAGAATATGAAGGTGCATTTAAATTACACTGAACGAACGCCTGAACGAAAAATGATTTAAATGCGAATTTGGCACATGGATAAAATCAGATGAAAGATGCATTACTAAAATAAAAAACAAAATAGGACAGGCTAAAAATGCATTTTATATTTAAAAAAAAGAACATCTTGTGCAATATATCGTTGTCTTGCTTGCTACATACATCCAGTTTTAACATATGGCTATGAATCCTGGACAATTGGTAGCCAGGCCAAACAATTTGTTGAGGCCTCAGAGATGTGGTTTTACAGAACAATGCTTAAAATACCTTGGACAGCTTAAAAAAAAGCAACCACTAGGTTTTGAAAGAGGCGGGAGCCCGAAGACAACTAATCGCAGACATCAGAAGAAGACAGTCATCATATAGAAAGAGTGAAAATGGAACATGTGGTGACCACTGGAAAGATTTGTGGAAGGAGAGATAGAAAAAGACAACGAGAGAAGATTCTTGACAGTCGTTGCATGTCATGGAGGTGTGTCAGCACACAAACTGATACATGCTGCAGGAGATCGCAGATTGTGGCGAGGCAAAATCGCCACACCAGTCGGCGAGGCACCTGATGACGATGATACACTATTCGTACTCGTATTCGGCCGAATAGTTGGTCCACTATTCGTATTCGGCCGAGTAGTGAAAACCACTATTCGGTACAGCCCTAGTACATTCCCAGGGACATGAAAACATCTGTTTTTATCACACTACCCAAGAAATCAAAAGCTGTTGATTGTGAAGATTACAGAACTATTAGCCTAATGAGTCACGTAACTAAGTTACTCTTGAAGATAATACAAGCAAGAATTCAAGATAAAATAGAGAAAGAAGTTCCGTAAAAACAGTGGTACTCGAGAGACCATAATTTGTCTAAAGATGCTGACTGAAAAATATATAGAAGTTCAGAAAAATATGTATGCATGTTTCATAGATTACAAAATAGCTTTCGACAGAGTGCAACATGAACAACTAATTGCAGCTCTTCAAAACATAGGACTAGATGGAAAGGATATCAGACTTATTAGAAACTTATACTGGGAGCAAGAAGCAACAGTAAGATATGACAACATCTGCTCACCCCAGATAGAGATCAAGAGAGGAGTAAGACAAGGATGTGTGCTGTCGCCTAGCCTTTTCAACTTATGTACAGAAACCATTTTTAAAGAAATTGTAGAATTACCAGGACTGCACATCAATGGTAGAATAATAAACAATCTGAGATATGCTGACGACACAGTGTTGCTAGCAGAGTGAGCAGGAGTTGCAAGACCTAGTGGAGCAAGTAAACAGAAGGAGTGCAGAATTTGGATTAGATACAAATTTGAAAAAGACAAAAACCATGATATTTAGCAAAGAAAATAATCAACTCACAATGAATATCACAGTGAACGGGGTGAAATTGGAACAAGTTAAAAATTTCTTATATCTTTAAAAAGTAATAACATGTGACGTCAGAAGTGAAACAGAAGTCAAGAAAAGAATAGGGATGGCCAAAAACATTTTCAACAACATGCAAAAGTTACTGACATCAAGAGAAATAAGCAATACATTAAAAATGAGAATTGTCAAATGTTATGTATTCTCAACCTTACTGTATGGCACAGAGACATGGACGATGAACAAACAACTGGAAAATCGTATCAATTCTTTGGAGATGTGAATATACAGAAGATTAGGTCGTATTTCATGGGAACAAAAGCTTTCAAATACAGAGGTACTGAGGAAATTGGGAATGAAAAGAGAGTTGCTAGGTGAAATAAAAAAAGTGAAATATTTTGGCCACATTAAAAGACATAACAGTATTGTAAAGATCATCCTAGAGGGAAAGGTTCAAGGTAGGCGAGCAAAAGGCAGACAGCGTTACAAGTGGGAGGATAACATCAAGAGATGGACGAACAGCAGTATGAGCGAGTGTACATCAAGGGCAAGAGACAGGGCTTGTTGGAGATCCATTGCAGCCAACTTTCATTGTGGAGGCGGCACCTGATTGATTGATTGACTGTTTGGGTCGCTTATCGCGACTAGAACCGCATCGCTTGATAAGACTCGTATACGTATCTGATCGTGGACTTTTTTGGGGTCCCGGAAATTCAGATGTGTGTGGAAATGAGCAAGCGGATAGACTAGATGCTGCCATCTCTCTGGGAAAGCTTTCTGAGATCAAGTGAACAGTGCAACAGAACCGACAGAGCATCCATATCTGGATAGAATGATTCAGCTGGGAGCAGAAGGTATGAATGGTTTTAAAAAAACAAACTCGTAGCAAAAAAACAAAAGAACTTTTTAAAATTGTTGTAACTGTCACTATCAGGGTGTAAACTCTTGGTTGGCTACAAGGGGAGGGGTAAAGCATGTGTGGGAATATCCGGAGTGCTATGCAGTCAATTCTTGCTCCATTCATTCTTTCCTTCTGTCAGAAAAATTTATGTTAGGAAACCAGCAGCCTTGATGAAAGCAACTGTGCAGTCTACATGTCCTCGTGTATCATTGAGCTTTGTTTTGATTAGGGTTGGAACAGACCAGATGGCCTCTTAGTTAGCAGCCAGAGGATGACGATACATCTGTCCAAGGAAGCCTCGTCAGCACACTGGTTAAGCGCTTGCCTGCTTCCTCGATTGCCATTTGTTGGAATCCTGATGGAAACACCTGTTAAACACACACACACACACACACACACACACTCACAGAGAGACTTTCAGGCCGTCTTCTTCTTCCT